CTTGAGAGTGCAGCTTTTGAGTGTTACAAATTTCTATTTAAAGTCTTAAAATTGTTGAACCTTTTGTTGCTTGGCTTAAAATTTTATTTTTTCACCTCGAGTTACTGGCCACAAGATTTTAAAAGATAGGAAGGACTTGAAATAATTGTTCTTACATTTTTTAAAATTTTATTTTCTCGAAGTTTAATTTTTTTTTTTATTTTTTTTTTTGTTATTCTACACACCATTATTAAATCTTTTTCTAAACTCTTATTTATGTAAATGCCGCCAACCTTGTATATATTTATTTCCCTCGTATCAGTTAGTTTTTAACCTCACAAATAGGTACTTAGGACATAGTTTTCTAGTAGGGCTTTAAAATTATGTGACGATTTGTAGACCCTTTTAAAACGTAAGGTATAAGAACAATGGTTTGGGATGAGGCCCAATAATTGGGATCATTTTATACATCACCCCTTTTGAAATTATATTTACTATTATCACTTTTCAAATCAAATATTGCTAAAACATTTTAATTTCATAACATGTTATTTCAAGATTTTAGATATGCCAACAAGTTCAAATACAAGGTACATACATATATATGTCATACGCAAAAAGGTACAAATTCTATATTTTTTTTAGTTTTCTCAATATGTAACTTATTATTTTGATACACTTCATATATTTTTTTTTTCCTCATATCTACTATCACTTTTACAAATGTTACTTTTTTTTATAATTTATAAATCCCTACACTTTAATATACACATTATTTTACTACATGTTTGCAACTCGACTACTATCTCATTTTATTTTATTTCATGTCCTAATTCTATATAAATAAAACAACAAATTTTCCTATCCTTAAAGCTCAACATTTTGGATACATTTATATAAGACACATCTATACATATTTTTTTAAAAAAATTGTCATACACTCTTAGCGCATTTATTTATTTATTTTTCTTACCGTATGATAAACAGACTACTGTAATTTTATCTAATAGACATATATACATCGTACCTTGTATTTTACTCTTTTCTTAAACTAATAAAATTTACTTATCATTGATTTTAAAACAAATAAATAAACACGTTTTCCTAATTATATTTTCCTAAATTAAGTTTAAGGACTATCTTCGGATAGGCTTTGAGGGATGCTTAACACCTTCCCCTCGAGTAATCAAAACCCTTACTCAGAATCTCACTGGTTTTGCAAATCAGAACAGAGTTTACATTTATATATTTAAAAAATGGTTTTCCTAATATTTTCCTTAAAATTTAGGTGGCGACTCTAAAACAAATAAAACAATACTTTCCAAAATCAGAGTGTCAACCACATTATGTTGTGAACTGTTTCAGCCGTTTCGAAATAGGATGCGATAGCGTGGCGACTCTGCTGGGGACTTTACTTAGGTTTTAACTTTAGAAAAACTCAATATAGGAGCAACATTTGTGATTACGTGTTTATTTTTCAGCTTGCTATTGATATATTGCTTTGACTGAAAGGTCGCAAGTGAAATCCAAGCTTGTGTTCCTTATTTGTTTTAAGACACTACTTGTTACTGCTTTCCCTACATTGTCATTTGCACATTCTATCGAGTCTTGGCTGTACACGCACACACTGTACACGCGAGGGGTGTTCCTGCACTCCTCCGAAACTCTCTTTAGATTCCTTAGTTTCAGAGTTGGTGCAATTAAGATAGTGCGTCTTCTCGCAATTACTCAGTCCCACTCTCAATCATCTAGGAACATAATCTTACTCTTAGAATAGGTCATGTTGCATAGCCTTAGGCAAGACAGTATACGGTATTGTCATTGCATTTAGGAAACCACCCAAATGTCAATGAGTTTCTTTTTTAAAACTCGAGAGATAAATTTTGTGTGAAATTGATATAAATTATCCAAACTTAAACACTTAACGAATTTGGAGCAAATAAACTCATCATACCCTTTACCCTTTTTTTCAAATGCAAATCAACCAAAATCTTCCTGATATCAGGATGATGACTGAGGTCCCCCGAACTTTGAACGAATGGTGGGGAAACATCCGAGTGGCCTATGGAAATGAGATTATGCTACACTTAGGGTCGTTAACTGATCTGCTGAATGTGGAGGCAAACAAGTTACTCATTACTCTAATGATTGAATTTTGGCAACCAACAACGGTGACCTTCCAGTTTACAGATTTTGAAATCATACCAACATTGGAAGAGATAAGTCAAATTGCTGACTTACCGTTGGCTGGCAGAGTACCTTTGGCCCCGCGCACTACATCAGGAATCAATTTTCTCCAGTCTTTGGGTTTGAGGGTAGGCAAATGTTTGCGAAGAGTTGATGAAGGATGGGTCAAGTTGGATTATCTGTTTAAAAGGTTTGGTCGTCGAGATAGCTATGATAGGTTCCATCAAGAATTCTTCATCTCCAGGGTTGATTGGGAAAGACTCAGGGCTATTGTCTTCGTGACGGCCTTTTTGGGTATTATGATTTTCCCAAAGAAAAAGGGTGTGTCGACATCAACTTACTGCCTATGATCATCTTCATGTTTAGGGGACCTATTAGAGTGACCATCGTACCCATGATCTTGGCAGAAATATTTCGATCATTATCCCTTTGCTCTCGAGGATATGATCACTTTAAGGGAAGTAACTTGTTACTGCAGATTTGGGTGTTGGAACACTTTTATCAAAGGCATGCAGAAAATGGCGTTGAAGCAGACTTACGCAACAAAATCAGAAGCCATGCAACGAGATTGAGCATGTGGGATGCCCCAAATGATGAAGATGGTTAGCGCCTTTTCCTGACCCACGTCACAGGGAACCGCATTCTGTGGCGACTACCGTGGGTCGATGGCCGAGCTTTGTTGAGAACTAACCAGGCCTATTTTATTGAGTTGATAAGGTTTCCATCCCTACGCACCTTTAAGAGTCCTACGACAGTTTGGGATTACCCAAGACGTTCCTCTATGATCAAATATGGCATTGATTGAGGTCAATTATGAAGGAACAATTCCGATCGAAAGGATCGCTGCTTTGGTACAAGGATGGTGCGGTATTCTTAACTCGAACATGGGGGTTGAATCATGGTGCACGCCTGAATATTATACTTGGTTTATGATAGGAGGAATTCTCGCTAGGCCTAGCTATGAGGGATTCTTGGGGTTCACAGACACTCAAAGGTCAAATCAAATTGGCATGGAGCTATTGAACCTCATGCACATCACTACGACCATGTATCAGCAAGTGACCCCACGGTCTATCGACCATCTCATACTGGCAGTTGATGATGAACCAAATGAAGAGATGGAGGAAGACCCAGAAGAGGATCCTAGAGAGCCAACTGAGGAGATAGAAGAGGATCCAGAAGAATACTCAGAGTATGACTCTAATTTGTATGACCCTAGAGATGGAGGAGTGATGCGTATAGAGGATGAACATGTTCCAACAGTAGAAGACGCTCACTCAGAATATGGTTCTATAGGGTTTGATGAAAGGGAAGATTCAAACAACTGGGAATGGAAAATCGACGAATCTCCAGAGTATCACCCAGGTCCTTACTATGATGTGGACAATGATGATGATGATGCTCCAACCTGGCCTTAAATCATTTTTCCTCTTTGAATTCCCTCATAAGCTCTTTAAAGTGCCACGTGGCCTATCCCTCTTGTATGCCTTATGGCCACCCCTCTACTTTTATATCTTCGGCTTCTGACCGCCTACATCTTTGTAATAGCCAAACCGTAATCAATGAAGTTATGTTTGCTCCAAATCTAAAATGTGTTTAAATGGATCATTTATTATCAAACTAATTGCAACGTAGGCCTACCTCAGGCAAAAAGAGGTTCTATGTTAGGACGCGCTTTGAATGTCGCCGAATTGGCGTATACATGTGTTATATCTATTTATTTGTTACAACTTTTAATATTTCCCAAACATACATAGTTTTATTTTTCTTTCTTTTCTTTTCTTTATTTATCCCCAAAAGTATGTTGATTTGTGTCGACTTGCAAACTGGCTGACTCACGATACAACCTTCGATCAAAAAGAAAGATGACTGATAAAGACGACTTCAACGCTGCTGCAAACATAATGATACCTATTGAGAACCCCGAAAGTTCTCGAAACATGATAGACATCCAAAATGAAGAGAAAATGGCTCACATGGAACAAGAACTCGAGATCTTGAGGGAAGAATTGCGTCAAGTGCGAGACTTGGCCAAACTATCGGCTACCACTTTCCCTACTTTCAAGACGCCTATCTACTTCGCAAAAGCTGACTTGCCAAATCAGCCAGAACAAACTCAACGCGCTCCTACTCAGGGTCAAGTACCACCAGCTTCTCCAACCGCAATTAGGACCGTTCCCGACCTTTCCAACCGCGACCCTACCATACCTACAATGCAGCAGATACTTGGGGCACATGCTGCCGCTCCCTACGAGCCACATGTTCCACCTGTATATGCCGCTGGGGCTCCTACCTTCACTATGCCAGCTGTGGTTAACATCCCATACGAGGTCGATCAATATGAAGAAATGGAGAAAGATGTTTGGTCGAAAGAAGACGCGTCGATAAATGCCCAGCTTCAGGGTCTGAGAAAAGCCTTGAAAAGCTTACAAGTCACTAGAGGGACAGAGAGTCTAGATTATGATGACTTGTGCATCCATCCAGACATTGACATGCCAGTAGGGTACAAACCACCGAAGTTTGACATGTTCGATGGAAAAGGTGACCCTCACGCACATTTAAGGGCATACTGTGACAAGTTAGTCGGTGTAGGGAGAAATGAGAAGTTGAGGATGAAGTTGTTTATTCGGAGTCTGTCTGGAGAAACATTAACCTGGTATACACGCCAAGACCCTCGCAAATGGCGTGACTGGCAGGAAATGGCCAAGGACTTCATGACTCGTTTTAGATTCAATACTGAAATTACTGCTGACAGATTCTCATTAGCCAATATATAGAAGAAGCCATCTGAGAATTTCCAGGAATATGCACGACGTTGGAGAACTGAGGCCGCGATGGTGCAACCACCACTAGATGAGAGTGAGCTCTCGAAGTACTTTATTCGAGCTCAAGAAGGTATCTACTTTGACAAGATGATGTCAATGATGGGTCAGAAGTTTGCAGAATTGGTCAAAACGAGAGACTTTATAGAGGATGGTGTTAAATCTGGGAAGATTCAGTCTATGGTCGCATTGCAAGCTGCAAGTAGGGCTATACAATCAGGTTCCATTGGCGGCATCAAAAAGAAAAGGGAGGATGTTTCAGCTGTCACTTACCAACCAGGAGGACAATCTCACCGATACCCTAATAATCCCCAAATCGCTGCGCATACTTCATACGTCCCAGTGTATAATACCCAACCACACTATAACCCGCCCCGAGCACCAGCATACCAAAACCCTCCAAGACCATATGTCCCTGTCCAAGCACCAATTCACCAAAATAGACCAGCATATGCACCGAGACCACGTCCAAATCCTGAAGCTAGAAATGCTCGCGCTTACACACCAATTGCCGAACCCTACGCCCAATTGTTTGAGAGGTTGAGGACAGTGGGAGTGCTGCAACCGGTTGAAGGAAAACTTCCTGGTCCAATCCATCGTAATTTTGATAGGAACAAGAGATGTACTTACCACTCGGGAGTCCAAGGACACGACACAGAAGATTGTTATGGTTTGAAGAACCAGATTGAGTCTTTGATTAGGAGAGGAGTAATCAAATGCACTCCGGCACCTCCCAATGTGAACAACAATCCCTTGCCAAACCATGAGAATCGGGAAGTCAACATGGTTACTCTGGATGACGAATATGGGACCCCCGACTATCCAAACTTAGGTGAAACGGATGCCATGACATCTTCGGCGCAACATGTTATCACTGTTCAACTAAGGGAACCTCTGGCTGTCCAAACATATCTCCCAAGAGTTGTAGTGACCACTCTAATTGCTAAGAAGCCTGAGTATGACACCAAAGCAGTCCCTTGGGACTATCGAGCAAGTGACAAGGGCAAGATGATCGACACTGTTGTGGCTCAAGGGATGACTAGGTCGGGGAGGTGCTATGCCCCAGAGGACCTAAATCAAAGAGTTCTCGGAAAAGAATATAATCCAAAGAAGAATATTACCGATGTTGAAGCCGCAGAGTTTTGGAAGAAGATGCAGTCTAAAGACTATTCGGTTGAAGAACAGTTGAAGAAGACGCCAGCCCACATATCCATTTGGTCTTTGCTTATGAGTTCTGAAGCTCATAGGAATGCTTTGATGGAGGTGTTAAGCGGAGTGATAATTCCAAAAGAGACCACAAGTGAGACCTTAGCTGCAACGATTGGAAGAATAGTGGAAGCTAACAAGATTTCTTTCCATGATGATGAGTTGCCCGCAGAAGGGGCTGGGCATAACAAAGCGCTTCACATCGCAGTCAAATGTTGTGATAAGATTGTGACTTGAGTTTTAATTGATGGTGGCTCTGGATGCAACATCTGTCATTTCACCACTCTGAGAAATTTAGGTGTTAATATGGGAGAGATAAAGAAAAGTCGTGTGAAAGTTAGAGCCTTTGATGGAGCGCAAAGAAGTGTCATCGGAGAGATACATCTCATATTGCAGGTGGGGCCTGCTGAATTCCACATTCTATTTCAAGTGATGGATGTATCATCCAACTACAACCTGTTGTTGGGAAGACAATGGGTTCACATGGCAAGAGCGGTTCCTTCCACTCTTCATCAATGTGTAAAGTTTGAGTGGGTCACACAGAAGTTACTATCCACGGAGAACTCAGTCACCTCATTCATTTTGTTAATTCCATCCCAGTCACCGACGAGTTAGATGGAGCCACTTTTCACACTTTGGAAATCATGCAAGCTATAAGGGTTAATGAGGGAGCAGAGCCCGAAGATACCAAGTTGTCAAATGCAGCGAAAATGGTTGCGTCAGAAATGTTGAAGTATGGGTATCAGCCAAAGAGTGGACTTGGACCCAAGTCCAACTGTATAGTTGAGCCAATCCAACTGAAGCATCAGAGAAGCACCAACGGACTCGGATATGAGCCTGCCTTTGGAAGATTCCACCAGGAGGCGAGTGATACAATCTTTGTACCAGAACAATCTTCTATTCCAGATCAAGCTGGCGTTGATGACATCACAGAAGGAATAGGCAATTTGTTCGTGGCCATGGCTGGAGAAGAGGAAGGGATAAATCTCAACAAGTTGACCATTCGTGATGCCAAACCTGGAGAAATCTTGCAGAATTGGACCACTAGCCCGTCTTTGTTTCAACCAGAGTCCTGGTAGTGTGGAAAAGTAGTCTTAACTTTAAATTCGCATGATCAAATTGAGGCTTGAATCATGCCCAATCTTTTGTTGTTTGCCTCTTCTAAAAGCTAGAATGCTTTGAAATAAAAGTCTTTATTTTCTTTTTAAAAAAATCTCGTTATTTTTAATATTTATTTATTTTTACTTACCTTTTGCACTTTTCAGCACTCATATTAATAAAAATCCTTGTTCAACGGTTATGACATGTAATGAATCCAACGAGCAAGATGAAAATGATGAACAAGATCACGAAGAATATGATGAAAGCATGATGCCTGAAAATCTGCCACACGAGATTGAGCAGGTTGAAAGTCAGAAGAAACCCAACATGGATGAAACAGAGGTTGTCAACTTAGGAGATGACGAAATCGTGAAGGAGACACGAGTCAGCATATATTTGGAGAATGAAAGAAAGCAAGAGTTAATAGAATTGCTTAAGCAATATGTTGACATATTTGCTTGGTCTTATGATGACATGCCAGGATTAAGCACCGATATTGTCTCGCACAAATTACCGACTGATCCAACTTGTCTACCTGTTAAGCAAAAGACAAGAAAATTCAAGCTAGATTTGAGCTTAAGGATCAAGGAGGAGGTAACTAAGCAAATTGAGGCGAACATTGTAAGGGTCACAAATTACCCCACATGGTTAGCCAATATTGTGCCTGTGCCAAAAAAGGATGGAAAGATCAGAATATGTGTGGACTATCGAGATCTCAACAGGGCCAGTCCTAAGGATGATTTCCCTCTTCCAAACATTCATATACTCATCTACAATTGTGCAAAACATGAGTTGCATTCATTTGTCGATTGCTTTGCGGGGTATCACCAAATCCTGATGGATGAAGATGATGCAGAGAAGACATCGTTTCTCACTCCATGGGGAGTGTATTGCTACAGAGTAATGCCGTTTAGTCTAAAAAATGCCGGTGCAACCTACATGAGGGCCATGACTACCCTTTTTCACGATATGATCCACAAGGAAATTGAAGTGTACGTGGATGATGTCGTTATCAAATTCAAAAGAAGTTCAGACCACCTGGATGACTTACGAAAGTTCTTTGAGAGGTTGCGTAAGCATAATCTGAAGTTGAATCCAGCAAAATGTGCATTTGGAGTACCCGCGGGAAAACTATTGGGATTCATCGTTAGAAGGAAAGGCATAGAGTTGGATCCATCAAAGATAAAGGCAATCCAAGAGCTACCTCCACCCAAGACTAGGAAAGACGTGATGAGTTTCTTGGGAAGACTGAATTACATCAGTCGGTTCATAGCTCAATCTACAGTGATCTGCGAACCCATATTCAAGTTACTGAAGAAGGATGCTGCCACAAAATGGACAGAGAAGTGCCAAAGGGCTTTCGATAGAATCAAAGAATACTTGTCCAACCCACCAGTATTGGTCCCACCAGAGCCTGGAAAGCCTTTGTTATTGTATCTATTTGTCATGGATAATGCATTTGGATGTGTATTGGGGCAGCATGATGAGACAGGTAGAAAAGAGCAAGCTATTTACTATTTGAGCAAGAAGTTCACACCATACGAGGCAAGATACACGTTGTTGGAACGAACATGTTGCGCTTTGACTTGGATTGAACAAAAATTTAGGCATTACCTGTCTGCATACACCACCTACTTGATCTCAGGAATAGATCCACTAAAGTACATCTTTCAGAAGCCCATGCCTACGGGTAAACTGGCGAAGTGGCAAATTTTGTTAAGTGAGTTTGATATTGTGTATGTGACACAGAAGGCTATCAAGGACAAGCCCTGGCTGATCACCTCGCAGAAAACCCGGTGGACCAGGATTACAAGCCACTCACGACCTGCTTCCCTGATGAAGAGGTTTTGTTTGTAGGAGAAGACATATCAGAGTCATATGATGGATGGAGAATGTTCTTCGATGGAGCATCAAACTCTATTGGAGTTGGAATAGGAGCCGTCCTAATTTCAGATACAGGTCAGTATTACCCGATCTCAGCCAAGATCAGGTTCTATTGTACCAACAACATGGCGGAATATGAAGCTTGTATTCTTGGACTCAGGATGGCCATCGACATGAACATCAAAGAACTCTTGGTGATAGGAGATTCCGACTTATTGGTTCACCAGGTGCAAGGAGAATGGACCACTAAGAATGTCAAGATCTTGCCTTATCTGCATTACATTAAAGAGTTGAGTAGGAGATTCACAAGGATTGAGTTCAAACATGTCCCTCGAGCTCAAAATGAGTTTGCCGATGCTTTGGCAACATTGTCCTCGATGATTCAACACCCAGACAAGAATTACATCGACCCTATCGATATAGAGATACATGATCAACATGCATACTGTTTTCATGTAGATGAGGAACTGGATGGAAAACCCTGGTACTATGACATCAGAAGATTGATAGAAACACAAGAATATCCTGAAAATTCCACAAGCAACCAGAAGCGGACTTTGAGGAGGATGGCCAATCATTTCTTCCTTAACGGAGAAATTCTGTATAGGAGAACTTTAGATTTAGGATTGCTGAGATGCGTCGACGCCGCAGAAGCGACAACGCTTTTGGAAGAAATACATGCAGGAACATGTGGACCTCACATGAATGGGTTCACTTTGACAAAGAAGATTTTAAGAGCTGGATATTTTTGGATGACCATGGAGAGAGATAGCATCCGGTATGTGCAAAAGTGTCATCAGTGTCAAGTGCATGGAGATTTTATACGGGTTCCACCGAATGAGCTCAATGTGATGGGTTCCCCTTGGCCATTTGCCACTTGGGGCATGGATGTTATTGGACCCATAGAGCCTCCCGCGTCAAATGGACATCGTTTCATCCTGGTGGCTATCGATTATTTCACGAAATGGGTCGAAGCTTCGACATACAAGGCAGTGACTAAGAAGGTAGTGGCAGACTTTGTTCGTAATAACATAGTTTGTCGGTTTGGAATTTCAGAATCAATCATAACAGACAATGCAGCCAACCTCAACAACGATCTTATGAAGGAAACTTGTGAAAGGTTCAAGATTGCTCATCGAAATTCCACAGTTTACCGGCCACAGATGAATGGAGCAGTTGAGGCTGCAAATAAGAATATCAAGAAGATTTTAAGAAAGATAGTAGACAGTCATAGGCAATGGCATGAGAAGCTACCATATGCTTTGCTTGGTTATCGCACCACAATCAGAACATCAACTGGGGCAACTCCTTATATGTTGGTTTATGGTTCAGAATCAGTAATACCTGCTGAAGTGGAAATACCGTCTTTAAGGATTATCCAAGAGGTTGGTCTCTACGATGCAGAATGGATACGTAGCAGACATGAACAATTGATGCTCATCGATGAAAAGAGGATGTATGCGGTTTGTCATGGCCAACTCTATCAGAACAGAATGACCAAAGCCTTCAACAAAAAAGTCAGACCTCGACTGTTCACACCGGGGCAGTTAGTATTGAAGAAGATCTTTCCTCACCAAGGAGAAGCCAAAGGGAAATTTGCACCAAATTGGCAAGGACCCTACATGGTTCATAGAGTACTCTCTGGAGGAGCGGTAATCTTAGCAGAAATGGACAGCAGAGTGAGTACAAAGCCAATCAATTCAGACGCCATCAAGAAATACTACATCTGAAGACCTCAAGATTAGCACTTATTTTATGTACTTTTGCATTTTTCAATGTAACAGAACTACGTCTAGAGTTGACTTCCCACGGTGGGATACGTAGGCAACCCACATCGGATCCGGTCTCTCTTAGAAAACCCAAAATCGTCATTTCCATGTATTTAGAACTACGCTCGACCTGAATTCCCTCGGTGGGATACGTAGGCAATCCTTGTCGGATTCGGTCCCCTTGCATTTTCACTTTCCTCTTGTATTTGAACTACGTCCTGACCTGATTCCGCTTGGATACGTAGGCAGCTTGAGTCAGGCCCGGTCATTGCATTTCATATTTTTCACTTTTCTCTTGTATTTGAACTGCGTTACGACCTGATTCCACTTGGATACGAATGCAGCTTGAGTCAAGCTCGGTCATTGCATTACATACTTCTATTTTTCCCACTTGTATTCGAACTACGTTATGATCTGATTCCTATTTTTGGGGATACGTAGGCAGCCTGAGTCACGCTAGATCAATTCTCTGCATACCCTTAG